GCTGCGGTCGTTTGGGTCGATCCGCGGAATGTGCTAACTCTTCTGGTCGTCTGAGGGTGTAGCGCGCCACACCGGGGAGACGGAACAAGTCACCCACTGTGTCATGTGTGAGGAAAGACATTCCGGCGTAGGGGAGCATGCCGAGGATAGTCGGGGAGAAGCCGCGGTAGAAATTGGCAATGCCGGAGCGCGGGAAAACTTTCGAAGCGGCAGCTGAAGCGCTTTCGGCAGCAGCAACGGAAGAAGACTCGGCTGCCGCAGCAGAGTGGGTTGGTGGGGGTCTAACACGCTCGTGGTAGATTTGCCGCCATACGTTCACCAAGCCTAAGTGTTTCGACTGTCTGGTTTCGTATGCCATTCGCACGCGCATCAATTCTAATGGGTATGTGAAACATACAGAGGTGACACCGGCCAAGCTGCCGGAGATCAATCGCCGGAACGGGGTCTCGAATTCGCTGGAAGGAATGAAGACCGCGCGGATCTGCTCGTATGCAAGGAACTTTATAGCGGCGTAGGGGAAAATTCGAAGGAGGGTCACTGAGTGGCCCTTGTACAGGCCCCGGGTACCTTCATTGCGTTTGATATCTCGAATCGCTGAGGCCAGGCCAGTCCAGCTGCCCGTATATTTGGCGAATTGGGGGTTCGACGACTGGAATAGGATCTTCACGCGGTCTAGGGGCGCTACCACGGTCTTAGCCTGCAAGGTCCGGCGCATTAATTAGTATAAAGCTCATAATGACCTGTGGCCTAGGAAACTTACCGCACACCCTGCCAGCCCTCCCGCAATTCCACTCCTCATCACATAATCAAAGCTACGCTTTTCAATCTTGTTTTTGCCGCTTTCTGGTATGTCCATATCGGCGGTACTATTTGACTTAAATGATTTCGTAGCGCCGCCGACAGGCGGCGATGCCGAATGTGCGACGCTCATCGGAGCGAACTGCGGAGTAGAGTCTGGGATTTTGGGAGGGTCGTAGGCATAGTCCAAATGACCAGTCGACATGGAATAGGAAGAGGAAAAGGAAAGATGAAGTTGTAAAAGAGCAACCGAGGCTGGCAGGAGGGGGAAGAATATCCGGGGCGCCCTCGTGATCAGTGTCGGCGATAATGAGATTTCTGGGGTACCGAATGATCTTCTGGACACTGCAACTGTACACGCAAATCTAAGAGTTGGCGGATAGCACTCCAAGCTTGAGCGGAGTTTCAAAGAATATAATGACAGTGTAATGGCAAAAGATGAAAGAATAATAGCGTTCGGCGTATATTTCCACTGACGTATTTACGAGGTTCATTGTCGTTACGAACATTCTGACGTGCCGATACCAGCGGCTCCCCGCGAATAACCGGCGGGTTACGGTACTAATACGGCCCGCAAAATCAGCGAGTCCCGAGATGCCGGTTTGTCATCGTGTTTTGCATCCACTAGGCCTAATTAGGACATGCAACCGATATCTATCGGGGGAAGAATAGTTGCTTGTTCTATGTTATTGCATTGCTTCTAAGCTATTTGACTTCTTCCAAAAAAAAAATGCTAGTGAAAAGAGATGAACTCCCCGTCTCCATGCAGCTCGAAATGTATACGAAATACAAGAATATCGTGGTCGCGTGATATTGTAGAATTAACCCTCTAGAGGCATCAACCCTTGCGCTGAGAGCGTGTTCGAGTCAAAGGCTTAGCCTGCTTAGCCTGTTTGGCTACCTTGGTCACTCGGGCATCATCCGAAACCCGCTTGCGCTTGGCTGGCCTGCCAGGATCAACATGAAGATGCCCATTCTCGGACAACGCGGTCGTGTTTCTCCAGCGCAGGCAGCGAAGCCCACTCTCGCTCACATCCAGATAGGTCTTGGTCCGGGTGGTCACGCGCTTGGCTGGGATATCCTCCGATTCGGCTCTATCAGGCATATCGGCTAGGTACGCCTTGCGATTCTTCATGTACTTGCCGATGTACTCTTGCTGGACGAGCAGCTCCTTAAGCAACTTGGACTCCCGGTTGCCGCGCGAGTCCAGCCACTCCACGAGCTGTTCAATTGCCTCGGGGTCCTCGTAGTAGCCCCATTCACGAGCATTCCACACATGTGTTGCCCCTTCTTCGTGCTTTTTGCGCTCTGCGGGGGTGGTTTGGAAATGCTTCTGGTACTGCTTCCGCTGTTCGTCGGTAACGTCGATGAAGCCGGCGCGCTCCATTTCATCCGGGCCTTGCACCCACAGACGACCATTGGCGTAGCATGCCTCGGCCGTTGAGCTTTCCGGCATACCCTCGTAGGGCATCGCATTGCGCTCAAACCACCAGTAGCGATTGCAGAAGCGATCCATTCCAAGGCATCGCGTCCGGGGGCAGTCGGTCTCGCGAAGGCTGTTCTCCACAGTCTCGATCTGCTCCTGGAGCTTCTCGATATTGGCCTTCTGCTCGTCGATCTTCTTCAAGACTCGCTGGTATTGTTTGGACCCCTTGGGCTGCTTCGCCAACATCTCCTTTCGCTCCTTTTCCAATTCTTGTTTCCGTTTACGCTCGAGGGCCCGATCAATTCCTCCGCGTAATGAGCGTGGTCGAGGGATATCCTCGTCTTCTGTGTCCCCGACCATTTCAGAATCCCCTTCCAGTCGAGAGTCATCCAAGCCGTCAAGTTCGGGCACCGGCGTAGGTGACTTCCCAGCCTTTTCAAGCTCGGGCTGGACGGCCTTGCGCTCCTGGTGCAGCTGACGGAGCTCGATGAGACTGGAAGATGATGTTAGCGGTTGAGATGCCAATGGTCAAGGATTGACTTACCCTGCTTTGCGCGCCTTCTGATACTCAATTTTCTCCTTGCGCAACTCTGTCATCTGATTGCTGCACTCTTCTAGATAATTTCGGATGGCCCTGGTCTCCAAGCTCAACATACAAATCATCTGAAGCGCCTGAGTACGCAAATTGATGTCAAGTGTTTGATACTGCTCCTGCGCGGTGTCCTGTGTAGGCTCGCGATCGAGAGGCGCGAGATGCTTAAGGATGGTGTTGCAGACTTGCTCCAAGCGAGGACGAACAGATAGCTGGTGCAAAAGTCCAACCATCACCAACTGCCACCCACCGTTGCGGAAATCGCGTTTGCGAAGACGATCAATCCACCCGTATGTCTCAAACATATCGCCGGCGCGATGAATCTGTGTCTTCTCGGGTTCATGTTCGTTAATCTGTGCTTTGATGACGACTGCCTCTTCCTTGGCCAGACTTCCTCTAGTGGTCATCCTCCTGGGCTTCGGCTGCAGCTCGGGAGACTCTTCCTCGGCTTCTTCCTTTTCCTCGTCCTCTTCTGATTCATCAGATTCATCGGCAGGGAAGTCTGGGAGTGAGATCTGAACAGCACCATCATCGTTTGATGAATTGACGAGCTTCTTGAGAACGGCGCAATGCACTTCAACGAAAAGCTCGCAGTCCACCTCATCTGATGAGAACCGCATAGCTTGAATAAAATCGTCAAAAGTGAAAGAATCCAGTTCAAATACTTCGCAGTAGACATTGAGTGTGTCCCAAGTCTCCAATAGCAGCCCCACCGTCTCTGGCTCTAGATCACCGGGCAGAAGGTTCTCTGTGCCGTCATCTTCAGACTCACCTACCGTCATAAACTTCAGGGCTGGTCGATGTTTCTTTTCGGAATTCGGAGCAAGGTCTAGATCTTCGATAGGATACTTGATTGGTGGCGGGGTTGGTGCTCTTGGCTCATTCTTAATCACCACTGGTGGGAGTCCAGCCAGCTTCCTATCGCCAACCAGTGGTGGTTTGGAAGGGCGCAACGGGTTGGAAGGCAGAAGGAATGATGGGTTACCATTCAGCGACCGCTGATACTCTTGGTACTGTGCCTCCCTCGATTTTGCCATGTCCTGTGCAGACAGTTTCGATTTCGGGCCCTTGACTGCGGGTTTTAGCTCGGGCAGCTGCTGAGAAGAAAAGAAACCAAAGAAGCCATCTTGGTCCGCTTTCTTCATCGCCTTCTTCTCTGCCACCTTCGCACCATACTGCAGGTGCTTAGGCACCTCAATCGGGATCTTGTATGTCTCTGCGACGGATGGTTTGACTAACCAGGGGGCACCTGTCCACGACTCTCTGGTGACGTTGTTTTTGATGAACCCGCGCAGCATCAGTTTAGTGAAAGCCTTTCGGTCGCGTGTGATGTGGTCCTGATCCAGCAGAGCCTCTTCGTTTTGCCGATCTAGGATCTTGACCAGATACCTAGCAAAAGCCGGTGTTTTAATGGTTCCATCGGCATATAACTGCTCTGCAAAGTTGGCCTTATCTCTGATGGTACCATGAAGCCGACTACTATCCTCAAGCAAAATGAGAACGGCTTCGCCTGGGTAGAAGTCTGATTTGAATTCCTAGGTTTGTTAGATCAGTCGTTGATATGTGACGGGAATTATCTCACTTCATAGATTTCATCCACTAAGAAGAGTGCCGTTAGCTTGATTCAGACTAAAAAAAGATCAGAATAGCATACCCAGGCTGTCCACCCTCGAAACTATAGAGAACTGAATTCTGCGCAGAATGGGTTCTCTCAGGGCATCGGGGAAACTGTTGTTGACTTCACGTGATTCCTCCGTCTAGTCGAGGGTTAGCATATGTCCATCACTTGGTATCCATGTGATAATATACCTCACTGCGGAGCGCCTCAAAAAAGGTCAAGCCCGAATGGCCTGTGATCTCGCAGATGAATCGGCGTTGTTTGTAGAAGTCCATTCGGTGAAGGTAAGGCTCGTAGCTAGTGAAGACCTCATTGGTCTCTGGGATAACCCAGACCTGGAAGGGAGAAAGAGTCAGCGGGAAGCTCTGCAGTATGGATAATAGAATACACACCTCAGAGCTATCATCTTCAATGACAGTTTGTGGGAGGTATTGAACCGGTTTGCGTTTGAATAACACCTGTCCGTGCAATTGTGTAAGCCTCTTTGTCTCCGTAGCATCCACCACTTTCTTCTTGGCGCCTCCGCAGTCATTCCTTCGGATAAGGTAATTGCATACCATGATGCTTTAAATTAAGTTTGCACGCGCCAGTCGGCCAGGAGCTACCGTAAACAGAATCGAGAATCGAACATGAACGGGGCTAAACCAAACGCGATCTTGGTTAGCGAGTGAAGCTTGTCGGTCGAGTGTGCGAAGGTAGAGGCCGTGTCGGCCACGCAATCGGCGGAGGTAACGGGAGTTGCGATATACATTGCAGATACTCCAGTCGCTCTGCACCGTTGTGTAGAAAATGGGCGGTTGAGGGGTTGGTGGGAATCGTCGTGATCAGGCGTGGTCGCAGATCAAGAACACGCGAACAGTGGAATAGCGATGCCTTGGGAATTCATGCGGACTTACCGGAGTAGAACGCGTCCTGTACTGAAGTTGCGAACCAAGCGATTTGGATAAGGATGAACTGGTGGAATATCAAAAGGGGGAGGGAGGCTGTGAATATTTCAAGGTGTAGGGAACCAGAAAGAAGAAAGGTAGACAAAAAGGACGGAGCGGTAGATCATTGCAGGACCGCGAATCAGCGGTGGACGCTGATTGGTGGAGAGGAGGAGCAAGCGGGAGCCAAAGCCCAGCAGAAAAACCGCACTTGGGCTTTCCTCGGGACCCTCGACTCTCCCTCCTCCCCTCGTCATCTCCGACTGTCAATTCTTTCTTCCTTTCTTCCCCAACTCTACCTGTATTTACCCTCATTCGACTCGTCTGGTCCAGGAGATTTCGTCTACAACCTGCTCATTTCAATAATCTGGAATCTTTCTATTCTTTAACCCGATTATCAATTCCCAGTCCCTATTCTCGGTCACCTCCCCGGGCTAAGATCGGAACAATCAATTCGAACTAACGGGACCATGTCACTACCAGCTTTGTTTGTATTTTTAACTTGAAACACCAACCTTTCAGTAGGATTCTCTTTGGCTTTAAATGCTGAAGTCTTATTTGTTCATAACCCTGGGCGTCTACCTAGGTAGTCGTATTTCATACTTAAAATAGAACCAACCCTATTTAATAATTATATGTCACTGAAATGCAAGTAGTGGAGCTTTATATGCATACTCTATATCATACACCGGCTGCTAACTATACATCACCTTTATGACTCTAAAGCAAACAGCTATGGTTGACATGTAGGTTTGATACACCTCCTTCAGCCACGGTGTCACAAGCGCATTGACCACCCAGATATATGTTGTTAAATAAGAGATACTCTATATCTTTGCTTATTAGAGTCAATGGGCCTCTCTTTTGCATCTCATCACACCGGCTTTTGTGATTGTTTAGTTATCGCGCGGCTAGATGTGAATAACAAACATGTGATATATGCCCAGGTATAGTCGCCCCTCCTATTTATTATTTGCTACTTTTAGAACGGGTTGCATATGAGATCTATTAAAAAAGCAGCCTAAAATAACCGATTAATTACTAGTAGAAGTGAAAGCATATAGACAAAATGTATGAGCGGAAAATGACTTCCACCATCTGGGGAAATATATACGTGTCGTAAATATGCATTTTCACAACTAGACAATCAACCAAGCTAGTATTTAAGGCAAAAAGATAAGAAAATACCTATGTGTTTACGCAAACATGGCTAGCAAATCCCTAGACTAGAAGAGAGATCCTCCCCCATGTTTCTATCTGACCTGCATTTGACTGCAGGCCAACCATGGATGAACAGAGACTAACCAGATTGGGCTTAGTGAGAAAATAGACTCCGTGATCCGTGGGTCTGATCCACGTGGAAGCAAACAATGCAAACATTCTACACCTATATCGAACCCGAGTAAATCCCGAAGTCACCACAAATAACCACAAGCAGTGTGTAGTTCATAGTTGCCAGCTGAAATATAAAAGGGTCTTTTGCAGCTAATTATTTCAATCAAGCTAAGAGGTAAAATAAACCACCATGAACCCAACCCAGCTTCCGACCACGCCGAGGGCACAATAACTGCTCATGAACATCAATGGCAGGAACTCTAGCCGGTCCCATCCGAATATCAATTGGTGCCCCAGGGAGCAGTAGATAATCAGAGGAATAGAGATGGTCAAGTAGAGCAGCGAAAGCCGGTCGAATAGGAAAATTCGGGGCCGCTCGGGGACAGGTGCGACTCGGTCGAAGACGAAAAGGAACAGCACCAACCACAGGACCGTATAAATAGTCTTGAGGGGGAAGTCGGATGCTGTAAACAGCAGCGGGAAGAGCGAAACATGGCCCGCAACCGCCAGAGGTCGGAAGGCGCTGAAGTAGCGACGGTCCTTGAGGGCGATGAGACTGAATGGGATGATAATGAGGAGAATAGCTTTCTCATGCACATGCCAACCAAAGAGGAATGATGCGTAGCCACAGAGGGTGATCGCACCGACAAAGGTATCCCAACAGCCTGGGTTGAACCAGACCTTGACGAGAGGAACCTAAACAATTGTGAGAGAAGGCCAAAGGGACAAGACCAGGGACACATACCAGTTGGAACAAGAAGGTTAATATGAAGGTATATTCCTTTGTAATCTCCGGAAGGACGGCAAAAGAGGTGTCTCCCACCAGTCCTCGTGTGACACTATTCAGAGCACTAGTGTTCACGGGCAGCCCTAGCCGTGGAGCAACTGTAGATTGTCAGATACGCTCATATGTCGTGTGCGCCGAGGGAGATAGAGGCTACTTACGGGAAATCAAGGCTCGATCAGCGAAGGAGTACATCGCCCAGATATTCGGTGCCCAGTACGCGTGACACAGTCCTCTCGAAAACGGAAACAGCCTATCCTTGAGCTGCAGCAATTGTCCCCATTGTGCAAATGGCCCAAAGGCAATTGCAAAGACACCCACCACACCAACTCCAAGTTTGAAAATATTACCGAATCGGGGCCGGAAAACCGATTTGAGACTAAGGCAATAGGTGCGCAGTAGATAGACGAAGTAGGCGAGGGCAAGGTATAGGTATATGTGCTTCATGCATAGCAGCACAGCAAAGAGGATACCGCTGTAGAGAAGAGTCGATTGCTTGCGAGCCAGGACGATTGATAGGATCAGGATTCCATACATGAAACCATTGTATTGGAAGTGGATATGATCAATGATGAGGAGACCGGGGGATAGTAGGATAGAGAGACTGGCTACATGCGCAGCCTGCCTGTTTGGCAAAGGAACCGACTTGACGAATCTATCGAACTGCAGTCAGAATTATGTTGCATCACCAGAAAAAAAAAGCCAAAAAAGGGTCAGGGTTGACAACTCGTACCGACTAAGCGCATAGACAAGAACCAACTCCGTCAAAATCACGGTTGATCTTTGAAAGTAGACGGTCTGCCAGGAATCATAGCCAAGGTTCTTCACGATCAGCATCGCAGGGTCTGCGTATACAGCAGCCTGTGACATCAGCCACTCGAAGGCTGCAAAGAACGGTGGGTAATCAAGTGTCCATTCCGAGGATTTCTAAGCCCAAAGTCAACATCCTATACCTGCCTAGAATCATGCGCCCGACCGAACATACCTCATAGTACCACTCTTGGATGGGGAGAGAATGAGTGATGGCAAGCCAATTGCGATGGACCTCAAAATCGGTCGATTTGCTGCAACACAAAGAAAAGTATGTTAGCAAAGCTCATTTGGTAACCTCAATGTCCTATTCCCGGTCCCTCTAAACCCCCCTTGCAGATTCTTTGTAGTGATTGTTCGATATCTTTCCACCTCTCCTTCCGATCTTTTTTCTCCGGCGAAACGAGCGGGACGGACTCACTATGCGGGGAAGAGCAGCACCTTGAAAGCAGCTGCAACGATGGCGCATTGCGCCAATGAAGGGTATAGGTCAGCCATTGGAGCTCCTGCGCATGATGGTGCAGCGATGTTGAAAGCCGAGAAGACGCGAGACGGGAGAATGCGCAAATCGGTGAAGTGAGAAGCTTCCTCCGCACGTTATTTTGAGGCCACGTGATCAGATGCGGAGATCGGAGGTCAAATTAGGAGCGAAACAGCTGGGCAGAAGGACAGATAAGTCAATACAACACATACAACGCTCAAAGGAAACACTGTCTCCGTATGGACTTCACAGACGTCGGAATCCGCCACACGCTTCTCAACAGTGTACAGCTCCATCACTTTATCGATTTCTCACCGTCGGCCGCTGTTATTGCAAAGGAGGCCCGTCTCTGCGTTATTGCCGTTGTTATCGGTTGGATCACCACAAGTGTTGTCTCCAACCTTTGCAATCGGAAGTGTAACTGTGACTCAATCCATAGCAAGCGCTGATAGCTGCTGCGCAAAGCTTCCACGAATCCATATCAACTTCAAGCTTCACCAACCACACAATATGATGAGAACATTAGCTTCCCTGGCATTGCTTGCCGTAGGGGCCACAGCTCAAATTATTGAAAGCTCAAGCTTCGGCACTGGCCAAACGTTAGTATAATGTCCACGTTCAGTCTTTGGGTTATGGTTGTCTGACCTTAGACCAGGATATCACCAAACCAAGACTCCATCCCCGGATGGGCAATTGGAGGAGAGGGCCATGAACCGCACGTTGTGAGTCGGCCTATAACAATTGCTGGTGAATTGCTCTAACAGCTGTATAGCTATCAGACAAGCTCATCTTAACGCCACCGTACCCTGGAAACACAAGGGGATCAGCTTGGGCACAGAGTCCGTAAGTGAAGGGCTTCAAACCGTGATATTGGACACCAGATACTAACATGAGTATAGAGTCTCTCAGTCGGAATGGTCAGCAGAGCTCCAATTCCGAGCAAGCGGACCAGAACGAGCAGGTGGAATCCTGCAGTTATGGTATACCAAGGATGGCCAGTCCCGTATTGGTACCTCGAGCATCTATACTGTCGGCCAATTTGACGGATTTGCTTTAGTAATCGATACGCATGGTGGAAGAGTGCGTATTAACCCTGTCGCGTATTGTCTTGCCGTATTGATCATTCGTTACTAACCTCTCCTATAGGGTGGTAGTGTCCGTGGGTTCCTGAACGACGGTACCATCGATTACAAAAGCCACAACAGCCCAGACACCTTAGCCTTTGGCCACTGCGACTACTCCTACCGTAACTTAGGCCGTCCATCAATTGTCAAACTCAAGCACACCAGCTCCATCTTTGAAGTCACCGTTGACGACAAGCTTTGCTTTTCAACTGACAAGGTATGTATACATCATGTCCCGCCGGCACCATGCCGCAGCCATCGTAAACATACTGATCTGAGTAGGTCGCCCTGCCCGCTGGGAACACTTTCGGCATCACAGCAGCCACCCCCGAAAACCCAGACTCATTTGAGATCTTCAAGTTCATCCTCGAGTCCGCCGCAGGCCAAGGCTCGACAATTCCCTCCAACCAAGGCAGCACCCCCCAGCAGCCAATCCCCGATCAAATTTCTAACCAGCCCGCCCAACCCATCATCAACTCCGGTACAGAAGCCACCATGAACGGCTTAGCTGCCCAGATCGCCGACGTCAGCGGTCGCATCCAGCTTGCGGGCAAGGCCACCAACACCATCCTCCAGGAGCTGAAGAACCAGGCACAGAAGGCCGACCAGCGCCACGCAGAGATTCTCCAGAAGTCCCTGGCTCAGGACCGCCAGCTCGCCCAGTTCGACACCCGACTCACGCGGGTCGAGCAGCTGCTCCAGGCCCTCCAGACCGACCTCCAG